TCTCCCACTCTGCAGAATCTGTTCCTCTCCACTGTCGCTACAAGCATGCTTAGTCTGAGGGATTGCTGTAGAGTCAATATCTACAGTATCTACTGTATATACAGAGGCTTTAGACCACAATAAGGTCATTACAGGATCTTCTCTCTTTCTAATCCTCCCTTCCTTCTTCTAAAAGGTTAAAGTTTGTATCATTCTGTCTGCAGCCGAAGGGGAAACGCTGGTAGGAGGAGCAGAAGACGTCTTTTCTCAGGTTTACCTGCCGATCTGTGCTGGTTTCAGTTCTTCATGGTTTCCAGACCTTCAGTGTGAAATGGTCCACAGATATATTTAGGACGTCTGTTAAAAAGAGACTTCAGATCAAATCTGAGTGGAAAAACAATTGAATGAAAACAAAATCTTAATCAACTTAATGGAACAAACATTGGGTTCATCTGTTCACTGAGAGCAACAGAGCGCTTCATTGTTTGCTTCTCTGAAAGACGACATTTGATGAAATCAGACGGATCTATGAAGGATTTTCCTGCCAGCAGATGTTTGCTGAAAGAAATGTAAAGTTTTCCTTTGAACTGAGATAGTTTGTCCTGTTTTAGTTGGAAGGAGCCGTGAAAGAGGAGCTCCTCATGGAGCCAGCGATAAACATGGTTCCCAGCTAAAAGTCAGAATAATATTTGTTTGCTGGGATAAACAGCAGCAGCTGGAGCGACCGCTGGCGCTGCAGAGGAAATGAGCTGCAGTGAGGATCTATTTCTCCTCAGTGAGTCAGACGGCTGAATAAGATGATGAAACCTTCGACCTGCCTGGTTTCTACTTCCCCTGAACCCTCGGCTCCTCCAGACTAAACCAGGAGATTTGTTGGGCAACGCATTTCTGAGAAGCAGAAATTCCTAAAATGAGGACATTCTCAGGCGTTATTAGCTTTGGCTGACCTTAAGGAGTCATGTGTTTGCTGAGGTGATATCTGCCCTGCCTCGGGCCTCAGGATTGGTTTTAGTTCTGCTCGTTGTTTACGGCTGCATAGCTGCTGCTCAGGCACCAATAAAACAGGCAGAAGCTTCTGCCAAGCATGAAAACCTTTCTGTAAAAACAGCAGAACACGTCCTGCCCTCTTATGGAAGCAAATCGTTACCATATTTCAAATGAAGAAGCATTTTCAGAAATTCAGTTTCATTTTAAGAATGTGGCTGCATTGTTTGACTCATAAATGAAATTAGTAATCAATTTAAATTTTCTTCTTCAAGACTGCTAATCTTAATTAAAATGAAAAAGAAAAAGACATTTGAGATTAATTTTTCTAAATGTATACCACAGCAAATACATCCCAAAATTCACTTTGAAATGAAAATGTTTTCTCTTTGATTATGGCATAAAATGTCTTAAAGAAGAAAATGCAAATGCAAATAGGATGATTGATTACTAAATTCATTCATGAGTCAAATAATGCAGCCACATTCTTAAATGCTTTTTCATTTTCAAATTTTACATTTCAAAGTGAATTTTGGGATGTATTTGCTGGGGTACATTTTGAAAAATAAATCTCAAATGTCTTTTTCATTTTAATTAAGTAAAAGGATGAGCAGTCTTGAAGAAGAAAATGCAAATGCAAATAGGATGATTGATTACTAATTTTATTTATGACTCAAGTAATGCAGCCACATTCTTAAAATGAAAAAGCATTTCTGGAAATGCTTTTTCATTTGAAATATGGTAACGATTTGCTTCCATAACCTCTGAGCTCCCAGCATTTCATCATCTCCCAGGAAGCTCACTGCGTTACAAGCTGGTTATTCTGCCTGCTGGTTGCTCCGTCAGACCCTGCAGGCCCAGTTCAGTCCAGTCTGCATTCTGGCTGCACCAGTAAGGAACATGTGGTTTGTTACTGCATAGATCCCCCCCCTCATGGTACCCAGAGGCAGGAGACAAATGATGAGGACACAGACTTCCCTGTATTCATCTCCTCCTCCCTGCCAGGGGCGGATTTAGGAAATGTGGGGCCCTAGGCAAAGAAAGGCAGGGGGCCCTCTGAATGGAGAAGACGCACATAAACAGCCCCATTCTACAGATAGAGAGATGTTAATAGAATACTTAATATTATCAGCCTTCTGATGGCGTGTTAGCCAAATGATTTTCATCAAACACATAACGTGCACAAATAAGGAATAGTTGTATCAACTAAACATGCTGAGTTTTATGGGGTTTCCAGGAACTTGGGGCCGTAGGCAACTGCCTAGTATTGCCTAATGGTAAATCCCCCCCCCCCGATCCCTCCATGGTGTCCTGGTCCTCCTCCTGGTGGGACGTCCCTGGAACCCCTCAGAGGGAGGCGTCCATCTGATAAAATGTCTGATCCTCCTCAGCTGAGTTCTCTGGAGGAGAAGCAGCTCTACTCTGATGGCTGAGCTCCTCCCCCTCTCTCTGAGGGAGAGCCCAGCCTCCCTGCAGAGGAAGCTTGGATCCAGGATCTGGTTCTTTGGGTCCTGATCCAGGTTAATGAGCAGAGGTGAGGGGAGGAAGGTAGAGCGACTAAATCAGAGCTTTACCTTTTCTATCTGCTCTCTGAACCACAGCAGACGGAGCAGCGTCTGGATTATAGCAGCAGAACCGCCACGTCTATAGATCCGTCTATAGATCCATCTATAGATCCGTCTATAGATCCGTCTATAGATCCGTCTATAGATCCGTCTATAGATCCGTCTATAGATCCGTCTATAGATCCGTCTATAGATGTCCACCTCCATT